TGACAATCAACCCAAGTCTTCAATGTGACAATAAACCCAATTCCTCAATGTGATAGACCAACCCAATTCATCAATGTGACAATCAACCCAAGTCCTCAATGTGATAGACCAACCCAATTCATCAATGTGACAATCGAACCAAGTCCTCATTGTGATAGACCAATCCAATTAATCAATGTGACAATCAACCCACGTCCTCAATGTGATAGACCAACCCAATTCATCAATGTGACAGTCAACCCAAGTCCTCAATATGATAGACCAATCCAACTCATCAATGTGACACTCAATCCTTGTCCTCAATCTGACAACTAGTCCAAACTCTCAGTGTGATAGATAATCAATCCAGGTTCTTAGTGTGATAAGCAACCTAAGTTCTCTGTTACAATCAACATAATTTCTTAGTGTAATAGTATTTGTTTGTCTGAAGTTAAGCACAAAGCTACACAATGGGCTATCCGTGTTCTGCCCGCCACGGGTATCGAAACCCGGTTTTTAGCGTTGTAAATCCACAGACATGTCATCTTGATATTATGATAGTTATTGCTGTTACTTTATGCTGTTATATATGGAATGTATTAATTCGCCAGGATTATATACGAGTTGAAACTAAGAAAAGTTTTCCAGCGTATATGTTGGTGCTGAAAAGTGTGTTGTTTTTTCTCTCTTTTTAACGATTATGAATGAGCAAATAAAATAAAAAATTCAACTTTAGGCTTAACTTGTTTTTTGCTTTTTTTCTCTTTTGCGTGGATGTGGAATATCCAAGTTTTTTCATGCTCAACTAATTACAGTGTGCTGTGTTATTATTCGGACTATCGGAAACATATGGCTTGAAATGACTAAACTGAAATTAAACTATCAAAATAACTATAGTCACCGTATTGCTTTGTTAATAGTTTACCTGACTTCGTGAGTATGATAGGGTGGTGCTGGTTGAGAGAGATATGTGTAGGTTTCGCTTTGTTTGCCTAGACGAGAGAGGGCGCAGTTTATATGTTGTATTCTACGATTAAAGCGATTTTTTTTATATTTCATAAATAATGAACATTTCTAGAACCCAAATCAATCACAAATGATTGCTTCTTGTCGTCATCTGAGGATTTTAAATGCGCAAAATGAGTTGGCAGCTAGTACTCTTCCTGAGACCCCTAGTTGGAACGAGGGGGACATACTCTCCCTTACCGCCCCTTTCACGCCTGTGATGCTCTACTTACACAGATATGCTAAAAACAGTCGTGTCGAAAATCTCTCGATTAAATCCAGAATCCTTGTGATCCACCATAAATAATTGTTACTTTCATAATTTGTAGAACATCCATTGTAATGGTGTCTTCGTGAAACTTCTAACGTCTCAGTCAATTGAAAGGTTTTACCTGTGGTCTAGTGGCTATGAAATGGTGAAGAAGAAATGTGAACGACATGTTTCAAATATTTGTACTGAATACTACTGAATAATAGTTTATAAGTTGTACCATACGCTGTCTGTAATAAATATGCTGATGTTTAGGCGTCACATCGGAGCAAACATAACACGAGTGTCTATTAAGTTACATTTTATATAAATTAACGATAACGTTTCAACTAAGCATTCAATAGCTTAAGATATTTCTTAGGGATTTAGTCTATGCTGTATTATCATTAGAATACATCTCTTAACCTAATAAATTTATTCACGTTCTCCTTTCAAGACTGTGGTAGAAACGCAAGAAGAATCAGTCGTGTTGTCGGTGGAGATGATGCGTCATTTGGACAGTTTCCTTGGCAGGTGAGGTTTTAAACATATATAATTATCCAACTACAAACTGAAATTATACACGTCTCTAATACGAAGGATTATGCGAATAATCAGCATTATTTTTGAAAAAAAGTTACCAATTTCATTTTAGTTTGTTTGTTGTTAAGTAAAAAACTTAAAAATGGGCTAACTGTGCTCTGCCAATCGCGGGTATCTAAAGCAGATGTTTAGCGATATAAGTCCTCAGACTTACCGCTGATCCACCGAGGGCCATTGATTTTAGTTTTAAAGCAACTTATAATAATATAGTAACTAGTTATCCTATTAGAAGACAAAGATAATTAGCATAATTTTTGTAACGTTTATATTTTCGTCCTCATTGTTATTTATATCATAATTATATCTTAATATCATTGCTATTTCTTCAAGAAGATTTATCTTTACAATACGTCGATTCTCACTCTTACAGTAACTGTAATGTCAGGTTCTTTTGGTTTGGATTATCAAAATATTTTGCTTAAAGATATCATTAGAAACACACGCTAAGTTATTTTGTGCTTGAAAACAAGAAATATTTTTGGCTTACATTGATAATATGCTTTCTCTTCCATTGAATACCAATAATACAAAAATGGGGCAGTGGTATTCACATTGGAAAATCCATCACTCTTAATCCACCTGAACTTGTTCATATAGATTTCAAGTTTAAGCTGCTTCAGGTGGAAAAAGTACTTTTCCGAAGTAGTTTTCTTAATAAATTGTAACAGTCAATTAAGAAAAACAATGTGATAAAAGTATGTTTTCGACATAATATACGGGAGGTCAACCTTTACTGATATTACACAAGTAGTGTGTCATCTATATATATGTATATGGCCATGTCAATCTAATTATATGTTTGGAACCTCTGAAAAAAATATATACGTATTATAAAAATCCGTGGGACATTTCTCAGGTTTACTGGAGGTACAGTATTAAGACTACTTATTTATACGAGCTGTTTTTATTCACGTTATAAATGCTGTAAGTAAATCTTTTGTTGTGTTTAGTAATTTTTTACATTTCCCTGTAAATATATAACATTCAGGATCCGCCTCTTCCTTATTGAACCCGAATGAGTATATTAATTAAATTACAGCTGACAAAAAAAAGAAAAGAAAAACGTTAGTGTAAATTTTGTCTGTGTTGTCATGGAATAACACTCGGGTTGTTCAGTGTGGATAACCATGGGATATCTGCTGAAATATTAAGAAAACAAAATCCAAACAGATGAGAAACTTTAGTCTACCCAGTGAGGATAGAATAAAATCATGTATATATATAGGTCTGACGGTGCCTTCACATTTTTAGCCACCTGTATTCTTAATATATAAATAATGTTGTCAGAAAGGAATCTTTTTCAGGACCTCATTGTTTTACTATAACTTTTTAGCTGTTTTTGATCCAATCATTACAGAAAAACAACATTTTTACATATAAAGATGAATTGTTTTCCCATGCAAACTTAAACTTTGACGGTAGTTCAGTCACTTTTGTAAAAAAAACAACAACAACAAAGGTGTATGTCACCTTTGATTATCCAAAAACGATCTACTAGAAAGGTTTAATACTTACATAAATTGGCCAAAATACTTATAAAATATATGTGACGTATAGTTTCTCATTTCAATCAAAATAGCCTCTCCCCCCCACCCCCCGACTGTTCAGCGGTAAGTCAGGGGGCTTATAATGCTAAAAGTTGTGTTTCGATATCCGTGGTAGGGAGAGCACAATTAGACTATTAGAACACACACACACATATATATATATATATGTATACATCGATACATGTATGTATTCTATTCGTTCTTCGAAAATTATTTTCTAGAATATTTGTATTCTTCGTATTTTAATATACTCTATCATAATGTTTGAAGTTGTTAATTATAATTTGATGATCATCATTGTATAGTACATAGGGCAATTTATTTTTTTCTGTCAAGAGATCGACTTTGAACAGTAAGAACAGTCAGCGGCCAAAAAAAAACATAAAATTCACCCGGTAGAGGGAGCTTAATTAACAAGATCAATTACCATAAATTTCGTCTAATTAATTATAATTAGATACAAGTGTTTATAATATTCGAAAATAAACCGTTTGAATGCTGGTTATACAGAAAGCTTAGAGACTACTTTTGGAAAATATAAGAATTTAAGATATTTTAAGTACGATTTTAAACTTCTGTAACTTCAATTTAAAATGTTATTCGACTGGTTTTTCTAGGCGCTGATAAAGGTTAAAGGCAGTCGTTGTGGAGGAGCTTTGGTTGGTCGACGACATGTCGTCACAGCTGGACACTGTGTAGCCAAGTATGTATATATAACAAACGTAGTAGTATTGCTAAAGATTAACTGTAGGCTAACTGATTTAACACCAGCTTACTGTTGCAAATATTGTTTGTCGTCAAATTATGCATTAGGAGAAAACATATAATGTAATTGTGAAGCATAGTGTGAAATAGAGCTGCATATTCTGTCATATCTTTAGTTTAAAGTAAGAAAAATATGTTCATTTCATTTTGTTTATTATAAGATTTATACCGTTTATGACATATTTTATGTCGGAGTGCACATTCCTTGAGCTTATATATCACGAAATTAATTAACCGTATTTACACTGACTGAATTTCTGGATGGGCAGATGACATTTAGTTTATGATTTTGGTTGATAATATATTAATGTGGTTATTTTAAACTTTTTTTCAGCATATATGTTTAACAAAATCCTAGTATAATAGTATAGGTATGACTATGATTAGTAATTATTGTGTATTGTGAGTATTTCATACCACATGTAAAGCTCCGATGTGTTTCACAGGTCGCAGCATGAACCTTATAAAATTGAGGTGAACCTCGGCGAGTATGTTCTCAATTCCAAGATTGAGGGCTTACCCAGTGAAAAATTCGGTGTTTTTGAGGTCCGGCTGCATCCCAGATTTCAGTTCACACCGCAAGCAGATAGGTTTGACGTGGCCGTATTAATCCTCGACCGTCCAGTTCCATATAGAGGCAATATTAGGCCAATATGTCTTCCTGAAAAAAACGCGGACTTCCTCGGCCAAATAGGCTATGTCACAGGTTGGGGAGCCCTAGAGCCAGGTACAGTTACTTTATTTCTCTTGTTTATTGGAGGAAAGAAGCAACAAACGAATTTGTATTATGTTTTATCCACATGTGCCATGAGCGTATTTTAGAAAACCATAATCACACCTTCCGGTAAAAAACAAAATAACATTAAAAATACGGAAAGATATCAACATAAATGTTTCTTTAAAATGTCAGTACTTTCAATATAAGCGAAGATAATTTAATACAGAAGTGAAATAAACCTAAGTGCCAATAAGATTTACTTGTTTGTTATTAAGCACAAAGCTACACAACGGGATATCTGTGTTGTGCCTAAAATGGGTATCAAAACCCAATTTTGAGCATTATGAACCTTCAGACTTACCGATGATCCACCTGGGAGGGGGGAGGAGGAGAATGAATAAGAAGCGAAGAGGATACTGTGATGTCTTTCGCTGGTGTCCTTTGTTACAGGATATTGTTTCACCGTATGTTTCATACAACTGTTACCAGAGTACTGTGTTATGTATCACAAGTGACCTATTGATTTAAGTTCACTACAAACGAATCTTTCGTATTTTATGTTAGAGCAGTACAAGCGCTTGTTTTCAGATTTTGATATCACAAAGTGTTAATGAGTGAACATTTTGGGAATTTTGCAGCTAATTTTATTGTTTAAGATTTATATCTCTAAAATAATAAGATTTTAATGAATTCTTCAGTTCAGGAGAGGTCTTGTATGGTCTAGTGATTAGCATGAAGGACTGTGGATTGTAGTGCTCAAGCTCCTAGTCGTTATATGCCGCTAACATGTTCAGCACTTTCAGATGTGGGAGCATTATAATTGTGACAGTCAGTTCCATGATTCAGTCGCGTTTAGCCCATGTATTGAATAAGGTGCAATCCCATTTACCAATGTGTTGAATAAGATTCAATCCTGTTTAACCCATGTGTCCAATAAGGTGCAATCCCGTTTAGCCCATGTGTCGAATAAGGTGCAATGCCGTTTACTAATGTGTTGAATAAGATTCAATCCTGTTTAACCCATGTGTCGAATAAGGTGCAATCCCGTTTAGCCCATGTATTGAATAAGGCGCAACTCAGGTTGAGTATACTGAGTATCAGTTCAACAATTTTTTTCGTGTACTTAGAAACAAAAACGAGTTGTTTTTAGCTTTCATTTTAATAATTTGATAGATTTAATTATTATTATCATTATTGCTTGAAAATACGTGACAGTGCAATTTACTAGTCTTACATTTTTCAATTCAAGAATAACTCTTTTTTCCATATTTTTGTTTGATTATCAGAGCAAATAGTTTTAATGAAAAATAATGCAACAAATGAACCAAGAAACAATTTTTTCAACAACGAAAAACTAAAGGTTTACAATAGAAACTAAAAGAAACCCAGGTAGCTCAGGGGGTAAGCTTGAGGTTTATAACATTATTAATACGGGTTCGATACCAACAGTAGGAACTGTGTAAATAGCTTTGCACTTGAAAACAAACAAACAAGGAAGGTGAAATCAGGCTAATGTTAAAATTCTAAGAAGGAGGTGAGCCAGTTTATTCTAGAATGTTTTGTTTCAAACATGAATATGCCTTTTTTGCAGGCTCGAAGCTCCGCCCGAAAGTTCTACAGCATGTGCCTGTTCCTGTTATTAATAACCAAGTGTGTGAAATATGGCACCGACGACAAGGAATTCAGATCCGCATCCACGGAGAGATGATGTGTGCCGGCTACGAATTTGGCGGCAGAGATGCTTGTCAGGTACTACATCTGTGCATAATATTTGCTTTTTTATGAATACGAATTCTATTATAATCTTAGCAAGCAAAAACTTTCGTTATTTTGTGTATATTGTCACCAAGGGATTATAAAGGAGGCAAAAGTAAGTAAGTTAACAAAATATTTTAATTTCTGCAGAAATGAAAAAAAACTCGAAACGTAATGTTTTTCTATCCACTTCGGCTTCAAAAATGGGAATAACTTTTTACGACTTATTTTGTTTCTGTGGAGAAGCGTTTGACGTTCGAATGTATATCGCACATGATATTGTCTTTTAAATAAGTTTGTTTGTTTGTTTTGGATTTTCGCGCAAAGCTACACGAGGGCTATCTGCGCTAGCAGTCCCTAATTTAGCAGTGTA